GATCAGTGGCAAATAATTATTGCAATGCAAATGAAAAAATTAAATATAAATAAAATCAATTAAATATTATAGAATCTCTAGATTATAAGAATTAGATATATTTAGATTTCCATCACTTCTTTTAAAATAAAAATTCTAACAATAAAATTAATGTAAATTTTATTTAAATTGAATTAAGTATAAATTACTATTAAACTAAATTTTTTGCAATGTTTTATTAATAAATATTGAGAGTATAAGTCAATATCATCATCATAATTTTATTTTTAAATACAATATGGTCATATTAAAACAGTTATATGTTTAATTATTTTATCATCAGATAGAAAAATGAAAAAAATTACATTTGTTTTAGATCTGGATTGCCAATATCATTTATAAATATTCATGTATAGTTCGTTCTTGGTATCCACTAGGTTAAACCACTAGTTTAAACCACTACAAGAGTTTATGTGTAAAGTGTTGTTACAAACTTTACACATAAACTCTTTGAACTGCATCATGAACCATCCGTTGATGTCTACGCTACATTTTGCTTTCCTCTGCTTATTTGCAGAAAATCTAAACGATCGAATGTCTGTAGATTTACTTTTACAATTTGGTGCCACACAATAACCCAGTGTTTAAAGGTTTGAGTATTTATATACGTAATAATAGTCGACTCACGCAGGAACTACGTGTGGAGTGTAGTCTATCGATAAGTCCCAAAATGGCCGCTGCCGCATAGAATCACGGGAGCGTGACCTGACCTTCTTATATAGACCTTGTCATATATAATAAACACTAGCTCATACTACAGTAGAAAAAATTTTTATAATTTGAGACATATACGAACGATAACTGTTGCGATAATAGAGAAATTCACTGGTTCCAACAAGGTTAACTATTATGACATTTAGAATTGCACAGCAAAGAAGATAACTTGTATAAACATAAACATGTTTTTGTTTAATGCTTTTTAAACAATTGTTCTTTTTGAACCCTTGGCCTCCATCGAAAGAAACCTCCACTACATTACTTTTCCTACTTCTTCGATGCTGATAAAATTTTCTTTGAACAGTGTAAATTGGTTGCTAGTATATAATGACTTCAATTTTCCGACCTTAGTGCCATGTTGATAAAATTCATCATCCTCAATATTTATGACAGAAGCTATTATTGATTTTGGATCGATCTTCGCTCGGTATACATTCGGTACTTTGATTCTTAGGTTCTGTTCAACAGAAGGTATTGTAATTTTGTTACAAGAGGCTGTTTTCATTTGCTTGCATTTCAAACGCCGTTTTTCGAAACAGCATCACTTTTTCCATCCTGTTATAAGCTGTTGGAGCCAAGTCACATTCTCGGAAGATAATGCTGGGTCACTGCTGTTAGTTTCAACTAACGTGAATTGCCGCGTGGCTGCTGCTTAGTCTGCTCCAACTGTATTTTCTTGCCGACCTCCTGTAGTTTTGTTCTCTGCTGCAATTGTACTTTCTAGCTGCGTTCCTCCATTTCCGGCGTTTAACATTTTTTCAAAATCTTCTTCAGTGTATACGTTGTTTACTAAATCATGTGGAACAACTGAGATGGAAGTACTCATTTTCATTGGAACACCAAAGATAGGTTCATATGGTAAACATTTGATCCCCTTATGATAAGCTCTATTCTTGCACGCACAAATTTCAAGTCTTCGGATCATTTTGAAGTTTAACTTATTTCTATCCAAGTTTATGACATAATTCCAATGTCCTGGTTTTGCAACTTTGACTGACCCTGAGACTGTCATGCCTCTGTTTTCCACGAACTATCTTTATATCAGCTCACATGCCACGTAAATAATGTGAAACCTGAATGCTCGAAATGTGAACATTTCATCAGGGATTTCGGACTTTTACCAAGCAATACCGGTAAATCCGAACATTTACCGGTAATTTATGAGTTACCGGACTTACACATTATTTAACATATATAGACTTATCTCAAAGAATTCCATAAAATTACCCAGATCTAGAGTTTGGAGTTGGGGAAATATCAATTTATTTCGACTATTCTATCAATGCTGTATATACATATTGGAAAAAAGAACTGAATCGATTTATTCTATTAAAAGTTATAAAAGCAACCAGAAATATGTTAATATTGGGAATGGAGGTGATCTTTTAAAAATGTTAAATAAGTTACATATTTTTTCGGTAAAGTACAAATGTCCTAACTCTTAAGCTTTTTGAGATACGGCCCCTTCCCCTCAATATCTCCCTAACCGATGATCCGATTTTTCTGAAAATTTCTAGAAACATTTTCCTCTAATACATAAACCTCCCTGAAAACTTTCATAAAATTTTGACGAAAGGAACAGGAGAGTTATTAAGCTTCAAAGTGAGTGAGTGTAAACAACCATGCCTTCCATATAATACCCATACATATAATACCCATACATAATACCCATACATACAGGAAAAAACAAACTTTTTTTTGCATTCCTCTGTGTTTCGAGCTTCCTAGTCTGAAAATGTAAAAATCTTGAGAAGTCATTTTTTGACCGACCGTCATACCTTCCCTCTGTTAAACGTAACAGAAGAGAAAGTTAAGTAATAATTACTAATTTTAGTTAAATGCTAGTTTAAAAACGATACTCGTATAGGCTTAAATCGAATATAATGCATCGATTGTAATTACAACAGTGATTTTCACCAGAGCCGCATTAAATTTTTCGTAGGCCCCGGACACATTTTAATTTTTTAAATATAATCTTTAAGTTAACGTTTATAAGTACCTTATAAGTATTTTAACGCATTTTAATTAAAACAAAATAGTTATTATTTATTTTATAATTTAGATACGAATACAACATAGAATACGTAACATCAATTTTTAAGTTAAACAATAAATTATAATATGATATAAAGAAGGTGAATCGTATTTTATCGCGCGTCGTGAGTCAAGATCGTTCGGGATAAGTTTTGTTTTGGTTTTGTTTTATACGGCTAGTATTTGGTTGATTAGAGTCACGCATCCTGTCGTCTTGTGCTTACGTATAACGTTATCAAATATGCACAGCTTGGTGTGTTTAATAGTGTGTGACCAACAAAGGCGTTGTTTTAAGAGTTAGTTATTTAAAAAGATTCTATTGATATATTAGCCTAATTAGATTAGATAAGTGATTAGTAGGCAAAGATTTTAGTATAAATATATAATAATGGTTTAAGTGTTTCTGGATAAATTTTTACTATTTTCAAAAAATTATTTCCGGATTGCAAAACAGTACAAGAATTATTGTTGCTGCAAAAGGAGCAGAATTTAGTATCCAACTTTCCTAATACTAATATTGCTCTTAGAATGTACAGTACACGTCAATCTTAGGATCGATTCTGAAGGAGAACGATATTTTTCAACATTAAATCGCATTAAAAATGATTTAAGATTTAATATGTCTCAAACAAAATTATCATATTTAGCCGTACTTGAAATATTAAAACAGTTGTCAGTTGAGGAAATTATTAAAGGTTTTGCAGGCAAAAAGTGAATAAAATATAAACTTACTTAGCAAAAATTTAATATTTTATTTTAATTCCCAAAACTTGTATTATTCTCTCGACTTTTAATTTCGTAGGTCCTTAATTGTTTGTATGCCCTAGGCGCCGTGTCTAATGGATAAGACAGCACCGCTCGTCATTGCTTCGAGCGTTTATTTCGTGGCACGAAATTACCAACGACAACACAACAACACGTCTACGCGAATCTATCTTAATCGCTTGGAGATTTTCTCGATTATCGAGCACCCTTTTATTACAATCGATGTGTTTTCCCGGTAAAGAGCACCGGTAGCTTTGTATCACGGGGGATAACTGGGGAAGTACGGGAGAGCCAGAGGGATGATCTACCGACCTAACGGTACGGCGGTCGAACTCGTTTGAGCCGTAATACAACTATACGGAGAGAGGCTACTTGAGAGTCACGCCGTAAAATGGCGGAGACCATGTCTAAAGCCCCACGACATTTGTTAGGAAAATTTTGGGAAAGAGAGACGCGTGGAGGGGAGGAGAAAAGGCCTGCTTCTCGGCCCGGACGCTCTTATCCACATCCTGCTAAGGACACGTGGGAACAGCCACTCCGATTTGGGACCGAGAAGGCCAAATTTTAAATTTTCTACGTCTCGTTATAGTTAAGAAGGGCCCCGAAAAAGGGACCTACTTAAAACACTCACAGTTTAAATTCGTGGCAGTTAGGTTACGGTCACCCGCACCAGAAACCCTACCGATGACCGAGGCTAAAGTCCTCGGACCTCTTCTCTCTCCAACATTTATACCGTTACCGAATACAAATTTTTGTCTGGAGCGATCCGTCGTTTGGCCGCGGCCGGTGACAAATCAAAAAATCGTCTTGGTCCGCTCCAAAAAATGACTCTTCCGTATTTCTACATTTTTTCGACTCCCGACCACGAAACGTCGAAAAATGCAAACAAATCGGGGAGGGGGATCTGTATGTATGGATGTTAGTGCGTGTGGGGGGAGGGACACGATTTTGTTCACTTTCTTCGAAGTTTAATAGCTCCCGTGCTTTTTGTCGAAATTTTCTGAAATTTTGCAGGGAGATTTGTGTATTAGAGATGCTATTAAATTTTGGTGGTTAAAAGTCAACGGGTGTCCTGCGTCGTATTCGAGTGGAGTCGGACTTAATGACGATTTTAATGGTTATTAGCATTTACGATATTTTATAAAATCTGTCCCTACCTTCGAAATTAAGTTTTTGCCATTTTATAATAAATAAAAATATAAAAACTTCTCTTTAATAAAATATCGTAACATATGGCGCTACCAAATGTCGCCGGGACCGGTTGCTGGATTTTTAGATTTAGGTTTGGTGGCCGCGGAGTGACGTTTGTACTGCAAACGGGAAAAATTATCTAGGAAGAAGCGGATTCGGTAAAACGGCCCGGCGGAGGCAGCGATTTACCGGATCTACGGGTGTTTGCGGGGGGTTACGGTGCTGGCCACGTTTAGACTTAAGATGTGTTGCAGGTACGACGACGTGGCGGTGGGAGCTCCTCTCTACTCGGATATGACGTCGAAAGTCGGCGACTACGAAAACGGCCGGGTCTACGTCTACCTGGGCCAACGGGTACGTAATTCCTTTCTACACCGGGTCAATTATTACGTAATTGGTATGAACGGCGCCGTTCTTGTAGTACGCGTGGGAGAAGTACCAGGTGGTGGATGGCGAATATTCCAGAGGACGATTCGGTCTGGCCCTGGCTTCCGCCGGCGACTTGAATATGGATTCCTATCAAGGTAAGAAATCCTCGGCGACTTTCGCTATCCCTTTATTTGTTAAATAGCCCTGCCGAATACTTTTGCAGACCTGGCGGTGGGTGCCCCATACGGCGGCCCGGACGGCGCCGGCGTGGTTTACGTCTATCACGGAAGTAAAGAAGGAATAGTAAAGGAACCGTCACAGGTAAACACAGACAGGCCCTCTGTCTGTGTTTGGGAAATTTTCAAAACTTAGTCGTACTTTTTTATTTCTCAGATCATTGCCGCCCAGCGCTTCCCCTTCCCGCTTTCTACCTTGGGATTTTCTTTGTCCGGTGGAATGGATTTAGACAATAACGGTTATCCCGGTAAGTGGCTATTGTGGATCTCCCGGATAAATTACCCGGAAGAGTATAAAATGACAATTTCTCCTTGCAGATCTGTTAATAGGAGCCTACGAATCCGACTCAGTTTTGTATTTAAGGTAAGGGGAAGAGATTTGATCTAAAGCAAATCTCTTCCCCTTCTAGTATTTAAATATTGTGTCTGCTAGATCTCGTCCCATTGTCTCGGTGGACGCCAGTCTAAAAATCGATCCGGAAAATATTAATTTAGAAGAAAAACGATGTAGCCTGAAGGACAGGAGTTTGGTGTCTTGGTGAGGGATTTTCCTTCCTAATTAAAAAACAATTTGACGACCGGTGTGACTCAATAAATATTCAAATGACGTTTAAATTTCTAGTATGGTGGTCTCTTTCTGTCTAGAATTCACGGGGATAAACGTAAATCCTAATTTGGGTAGGGAATTTTGTGCGTTTATATACGTCTAGGCTTTACGTAAATCGTTAATTTTGACGGATCGTACGTATTTTACCCGGTACAGGTTTCCTATACGAGATGCAACTGGATGCTTATAAGGAGGTTCCCCGCGTTTACTTTCTGGATAACGAAAATTACAGCCAACAGAATGTTTCCGTCAGATTAAGGAAGAATTCTCTATACTGTAAGAGCATATACGCCTACGTCGAGGTAAGTATAACGTGAAAATTGACCTATTTTTCTAGAAAAAAAAGAGGTGAAAAATAATAAAAGTGATTATATTTTCCAGACGGATATTAGAGATAAATTAATACCCATTACGGTTCGAGTTAAATACGGCTTACTACAACAACCGCCCTATAGAGAAGAGATAGCGCCCGTTTTAAACCTGGCCATTCCCTCTGTCTTGACCAAACAGGTAGATTCTGTTTTCTTTATCGCGATACACAGTACTTTGTACAGAAAACGTAATCGAACTCCAGTGAATGCTTGACCTATCTACTTTGAGCGCTTGTAACTTTTTCGTTGAGTAAACATAATTTAATGATGGAAAAAAGTTTGCAATCGACAAGAAAGACATTGTCTAAAGAATCTCCTTTTTTATAATTATTTGTTGTTAAAATATATCGAGAGTATCAAATTTTCAAGGGAGAATTTTACATGATAATCGATGGTTAAATTTTATAGACGTCGATAAGGAAGAACTGCGGAAAAGATAACGTCTGCATACCAGACTTACAGATTTCCGTGTCAGCGTGAGTATGTTTTTATTAACGATTAAATACGTTGACGAGAAAATTTATTTAATAAATTACTGAAATAATCTAGAAACACGGATGTATACATGATCGGAAGTAGGAAAAGAATTGATTTAGATGTTACGATTGTAAATACCGGTGAAGATGCCTTCGAAACTACAATGTATCTGCTCATGCCTTTAGACATAAATTATATAAATATCAATAAAAATAGAAATGTAAGTCAACTTTATTTCAAATATTTTAGTTTTTATTCGAAATTTATCACATTTTATTTTGACTTTTCTCCAAAAATTTCAGGCCAATTATGTCAGCTGTACAGATGCTCAAACGGATCTAACGACAACTAATGACATACTATGCGATATCGGTAACCCTCTACCTGCTAATAATACAGTAAATATCAATACTATTTATTATTACAATCATTATAATATAATATTATATATATATATATATTTCCTATCCTTAAAACCAGGTTCACTTTACAGTTTTACTCAAGCCATCGCGCATCATCACCAGCTTATCAGATTTTGTTTTCTTGTTTATTGTCAACAGGTAATATATCGAATTACGTTACTTCCAAACTTAACTTTCTGGATAATTAACATTATATTTTACAGTACAAACGAAGAATTAGAGGAAACAATAATGGACAATCGAGAAGAATTAAAGATTCCACTTCAAGTTAAAGTAGAAGTTACTTTGAACGGGTAAGTGTATCTTTTGGAATAAATTGTAAACGGCAAGACATTAATTAATAATTTAACGAATTTCTTGTAGCATTTCGGACCCTAAAGTGATCCAATATAATAGTTCGGAGATAACACCAGTCGATAAAATTACCGAAAGCGATGCAGGACCCGAAGTCACGCATATATATGCCGTAAGTAACTGCTGTAGTTACTTGTTTAAAACATTTCGAGTCTAATTCTTTTCGACCACAGTTTGGAAATCGCGGCCCGAGCACTATACAAGAAGCGGAAGTAAACATATTATGGCCAACTTATACACTGTACGGAAAACACTTGCTGTATCTGATGGAACAGCCCCAAGTGAAAGGAAACGGAAAATGTCAACAAGTGCCAGACATTAATCCACTTTCTCTACAAGTGAATTTTATTTTTGACGTCATTTTTCTTTCTCGTATAATAACAGTAATTGCGTTAAACGTATTTTCCAATAGAGTGAAAGTAAAAAAGCAAAAGATGTAAAATCCGGTAACGAATCCAGCATCAAACAAGAGTTAATACAATGGAAACAGAAGAGAGAAACAGCCGATCAACGGGGGGAGGATCCTTACATTAAAGAATTGGTAAGCAATGTAATGGATAAGTCGAAAATTTATTGGAAATGGACGAATATCACGAATTCGAATATTAACCGGATTTCGAATACTCAAATACCTCCGAATACTTAGCGAACTTAATTATTTTATATAACTCATTTAATTAATAATTTATTTAATACTAGCGATGTATGCCCGGCGTTACTCGGCTTTTTGGGATGTGGAATTGAGAGAGGGTGATAAAAACAACGGTACTAGTAATTAAAAGGTGCAGTTATTGACCCGAGTATTTATAATAATGAGACTGCAAAAAACAAAAAAAAAAAAATGCTCGGGTCTGAGGGAGCGTCCCATTGCATAACTTTGTGATCCAAATTTCTCAAAAGCATTACTGCTGCTCCAAACTATAGCTGTAGGTAATGAGGGGGTAATCCAGTTGCTTCCAAAGTTTAAAAACGCCACAGAGTACATTACTGCCTGTTCTATTTCGAAAACGGAATCAATCTACGTTATGCGAGTTCCTGTAATTTATGCTTGGATATACAAAGAAATTGAATTTGTATACGGCAACGCATTTTTTAGATGCCAAATATTGCTTTTTTTCCTATATATATTTGTGGTTTATGTAATGTGTTATCAAATTAGTATTATCTTGGGTGAATTTACCATCACCGAAACGCAAAAGTTGTTTAGCAAAATTCTCTACAGATTTGTCCCCTAATAAATGGACTCTCGTATTTGTTGAATGAAACAACTTTTTAACGTGATTCGACAGTGACGATGTCTTTAGGGCAGGCATTACGCTAGTCGGCAGGAAAATCAACAATCTATTATCAGCAATCCAAAAACCGAAAATCTGTTATCATCATTCAAACAATCAATTGTTGTTGGTGATCAACAAACCAACAACAATTAACATTTATTTATTATTTTTGCCAACAGATAGCGCTAAGTATAAAGGAATCTGTATGCTATTTGTATACCCTCAATATTTGGGGTAATATGTGAGGTTTGCCGATTGGGGAGAAAGTGTCGCGACAGTCGAGTGGTCAGCACTGTCGTGTGGGACTGAAAAACTTACTGAGACAGGTTCTCCATCGTATACCGTTTAATAAATATAAAAATTTTTCTTACAACAAGTTCTTAAAACGGCGTAACACCTATCCAAAGTCGAGCAACAAGTTCGTAACACTAAAAGTTTAACTGTTCTGACGATAGTTTTTCTTCCGGCGATGGAGGCGTGAAGACGTCGACTCCGGGCTGCACAATACTATTTGAACCGAGGTCTTCTATCTACAAGGTGGACTTTAGCGATCTTGATGGCACGGGAGGGTGAAGACAAGTTCTCCGAATATCTGACAAGTTCTCGTGGGAGAATGTCTAGATGACAAGAATCCTGGAGAGGANTATTATTATTTTTATTTGTAATAGGAATTTATTATTTATACCACGGAATGACACCGCTGCTGCTAGAACGCCCACTAGGGGGCGTCCCGGGCTATCTCATATATCAAGGTCTATATAAGAAGGTCAGGACACGCGTGACCTACTTCTTAAGCCGCCATTTTGGGGCCTTTTGAGTCGCATGTTTTAAGCAAACTTGCACGAATAGTCAGTTTTATACGACATTAATTAAACTAAAATTGTATAAATCCAGTGATTTCCAGTCAAAAATATAATAATAATTTAGGATGATTACGCGACCCCAATTTTATGTAATGTTTTCATCAAATAGTTTAAAAGAAACAATCATCCATATCATTAGCTGTCGTGATTGAAATTAATTAAATAGGTGCTAAAACTGATGCAATTAAGTATATAGGCACTTCGTAAAGTGATGCAATAACATCAAAAAAAATTTTTAAGTATACAGTAATAAAGAATATAATAATATAATATAACAAATTTATAATTTTTTTAAAGCACGATCGGTTATAAAATTAAGATGAAATTCAATAGTATTATTAATAAATGTTGTCAACGTAATGCTCATTTTATAATAAATAATAGATTTTTAATTTATAAATAGCTTTCAAAAAATTCCAAAAATAAAATTTTAAATTAAATTATTTAACATGAAACTGACAAATAATACTTGAATAGAATACAATGTATTCAAACAAAATATGAATATTTGTTGCCATAGCAAAATAATGCTAAAATTTTCTTTTTACAATTTAATAGTCAATTTTACTTTAATTAAATAAAACAAAAAATATCAATTTAATGTTTTTGTGCATAATTTTTTGTTTACATGTTCCGCATTAATAATAAAATTTAAAGTTTACTATTAAAACTACTGTAAAAATATTAAGTCTTTTGTATTATATTTGATATATTTAAATGCGAGAAAAATATTAAATCATTACACTATAAATCCATACCAGATAAATGTATCAAATGCACAATTCGGCTAAATTATTTTTACTAGTATTTTGAAAATGAATGTACGAACACAGAAGCATTTTAAAGCATCTGATTCTTATATTTTTTCTCTCCAGAAAAAATACTTTGTTATTCAAATAAAATCTGTTTTTAAATGTTCGGGATAAAAGATATGAATGATCAGTGGCAAATAATTATTGCAATGCAAATGAAAAAATTAAATATAAATAAAATCAATTAAATATTATAGAATCTCTAGATTATAAGAATTAGATATATTTAGATTTCCATCACTTCTTTNGGAGAATAAAAAATTTAAAAAAAAAGAAAAACTTAAGAGAAATTGATGAGGAAAGAATAAAAAAGAATTTGAGTGGGTAAAATGAAAACAGAGAGAAATTTGATGACAGAAATAATAAACAAAATTAACAAAAATAACTAACATACAAGCTTACTAATAAACATTTTTAAATGCATTAGAATGAATAAATACATTAATTTATAATTAATTAAAGCAAGTAGTTTAGATGTGTATAAATAATATAGTGTTACGTAGAGCTTAAACTTATGTACTGTATATGTGAACAGTATATAAGTTGTACAGTATATAAATACACTAGCAACGTGTTGCCCGGAGTTTTCCGGGATGTTTTAGATGTGAAATTGAGAGAGAGTGATAAAAACAACGGTCCTAGTAATTAAAATAGTAGTATTTATAATAATGAGACTGCAAAAAACAAAAAAAAAAATGCTCGGGTCTGAGGGAGCGTCCCATTGCATAACTTTGTGATCCAAATTTCTCAAAAGCATTACTGCTGCTCCAAACTATAGCTGTAGGTAATGAGGGGGTAATCCAGTTGCTTCCAAAGTTTAAAAACGCCACAGAGTACATTACTGCCTGTTCTATTTCGAAAACGGAATCAATCTACGTTATGCGAGTTCCTGTAATTTATGCTTGGATATACAAAGAAATTGAATTTGTATACGGCAACGCATTTTTTAGATGCCAAATATTGCTTTTTTTCCTATATATATTTGTGGTTTATGTAATGTGTTATCAAATTAGTATTATCTTGGGTGAATTTACCATCACCGAAACGCAAAAGTTGTTTAGCAAAATTCTCTACAGATTTGTCCCCTAATAAATGGACTCTCGTATTTGTTGAATGAAACAACTTTTTAACGTGATTCGACAGTGACGATGTCTTTAGGGCAGGCATTACGCTAGTCGGCAGGAAAATCAACAATCTATTATCAGCAATCCAAAAACCGAAAATCTGTTATCATCATTCAAGCAATCAATTGTTGTTGGTGATCAACAAACCAACAACAATTAACATTTATTTATTATTTTTGCCAACAGATAGCGCTAAGTATAAAGGAATCTGTATGCTATTTGTATACCCTCAATATTTGGGGTAATATGTGAGGTTTGCCGATTGGGGAGAAAGTGTCGCGACAGTCGAGTGGTCAGCACTGTCGTGTGGGACTGAAAAACTTACTGAGACAGGTTCTCCATCGTATACCGTTTAATAAATATAAAAATTTTTCTTACAACAAGTTCTTAAAACGGCGTAACACCTATCCAAAGTCGAGCAACAAGTTCGTAACACTAAAAGTTTAACTGTTCTGACGATAGTTTTTCTTCCGGCGATGGAGGCGTGAAGACGTCGACTCCGGGCTGCACAATACTATTTGAACCGAGGTCTTCTATCTACAAGGTGGACTTTAGCGATCTTGATGGCACGGGAGGGTGAAGACAAGTTCTCCGAATATCTGACAAGTTCTCGTGGGAGAATGTCTAGATGACAAGAATCCTGGAGAGGAGCACTGCGAACCAAAGGCCAAGAACTACGAACCAAGAACGTCACATTCTTTTTTTGCGCGGTTTTTATAAGTTTTTTCTGGGTCCCAGATCGAACATTCCGATAGGACGATGCCGATCTGCCTCCGCTCTCTAATTGGTCCCCCTCCTCGTTACGAATTGTAACGAGACGGAGTCCAGATCGCGGGGTAAGTCAACTCCGATTGACAATTTGATTCCTATCGAAGACGTTCCATCTAAGTACTCAAATTCATCCAGTACCTTATAAGTATTTTAACGCATTTTAATTAAAACAAAATAGTTATTATTTATTTTAAACAATATACGTAGTACATACATTAATTAAATTACAAATTTACATTTTGAATTAGAATTACAGTATTTTGACTGTATAGGACACGCATACAGTATTTTGAAGGGAAACTTGGCGTGTCCCCAAGTATCACTTTGCGTACNGGTGTTAGAAAACTGTTTTATGTAGAGCAGTGATCTCCAAACTTTGTTTTCATTGCATACCTCTAAGACAAAAATAATTATAAGTTGTATCCCCTATGGCCTATAATATAATATAATATAATATAATATAGGCCTATATGTGTGTATAGTCAAAAATCAAATTATTTATTATTTATTTTAAACAATATACGTAGTACATACATTAATTAAATTACAAATTTACATTTTGAATTAGAATTACAGTATTTTGAAGGGAAACTTGGCGTACCCCCAAGTATCACTTTCCGTACCCTCTTGGGTACGCGCACCCTACTTTGGAGACCACTGATCTAGAGAACTGTTATGCACGAGGAGTAGTACATACTGTTGTGAACAATTCTTTTCGTGCATGAAAAACATCAAAATTACTGAAAGAAATAAGTCGAGTGATTCCCATTTAACTAAGATTCTTAGAATTAATACTAGTACCATAAAAGTAGATATCGACAATATTATAAAAGGAAGGCAATATCAAAATCGCATTGAATTTATTTTTATTTTGTGTGAGTATAATTTCTTTTTTTTTACTGTCAATAATGCAGCTCTAGTTTTAACTAGACAAAACGGGTTTTAACAAAGACATTCAGTATAAACTAGTTTCAACTAGACAAAACGGGTTTTAACAAAGACATTTAGTATAAACTAGTTTCAACTAGACAAAACGGGTTTTAACAAAGACATTTAGTATAAACTAGTTTCAACTAGTTAAAACGCGTTCTAACTAAAAACGGGTTTTGACTGTAACATATATATATATAAAGTCAATTCTTGTTGGTGCGTCCTTTATACAATCTCTATTCTTAAACCGATCTGGGCCAAAGTTTGTATGAGTATTACTTAGCTCCTACCGTGTTTCCCCGAAAATAAGACAGTGTCTTATATTAATTTTTGCTCTGAAAGATGCGCTAGGTCTTATTTTTTCCACGAAGAAGAATTCACATTTATTATTGAACAAAAAATTTCCTAAGTCGAACTTGGACGAGAGTGACGTATATCCGGTCGTGTCGAACTGTCGCCTTTTTATAGCGTCAACATCGGACTCGATGACCAATTAGTGCTTACTGAACCGTAGCACTATGCAAATGTCATGTGGCGTGATTCCCGACCAACCAATTAGCCATCACCAGCCGTAACGTTATGCAAATCTGTGATTCCCAAGCCATAGTTTTATGCAAATCATGCCGTTTGGTGTATTGTCTGCTAACCAATCAGTGGCTGTAGGCCTACTTTCAAAAAACCAACGGCCACTTTCAACCATCTGTCGATGACAGTTACGACTAAAAAAAACTTTGCTAGGTCTTACTTTCGGGGGAATGTGGTTTCAGAGGATGTCTTATTTTCGGGGAAACACGGTAGAATCGACGCTAAGCTATATATTACCCCAAAATACTAGGGAGTATATAAGTTCTACATCCTTTAAATGTACCGCCGCCATCTGTTGTCAAAAATAAATAAATGCTAATTGTTGCTGGTTTGCTGATCACCAAAAACAATTGATTCTTTGAATTATGATAACAGATTGTCGGTTTTTGGATTGCTGATTGTTGGTTTGCCTGCCGACTAGTTTAATGTCCGCCTAAAGGCATCGGCACTGTCGAATCACGTTAAAAAGTTGTTTCATTCAACAAATACCAGAGTCCATTTAATAGGGGACAAATCTGCAGAGAATTTTGCCAAATAACTTTTGCGTCTGGGTGATGGCAAATTCACCCAAGATCCAGATATTAATTTGATAACACATTACATAAACCACAAATGTATATAGGAAAAAGCAATATTTGGCATCTAAAAAAATGCGTTACCTATGGTACTCTGTGGAGTTTTTAAACTCCATGGAACCAGCTGGATTACCTCTTCATAACCTAGAGCTATAGGTGGAAGCATCAGTAATGTTTTTGCGAAATTTAGATCACCAAAGTTATGCAATGGGACGAGAATGATTTTTCATTTTTCTCCCGCAATCATGAGCAATTTTTTGTTTTTTGCAGTCTCATTATTATAAATACTACTATTTTAATTACTAGGACCGTTGTTTTTATCACTCTCTCTCAATTTCACATCTAAAACATCCCGGAAAACTCCGGGCAACACGTTGCTAGTGTATTTATATACTGTACAACTTATATACTGTTCACATATACAGTACATAAGTTTAAGCTCTACGTAACACTATATTATTTATACACATCTAAACTACTTGCTTTAATTAATTATAAATTAATGTATTTATTCATTCTAATGCATTTAAAAATGTTTATTAGTAAGCTTGTATGTTAGTTATTTTTGTTAATTTTGTTTATTATTTCTGTCATCAAATTTCTCTCTGTTTTCATTTTACCCACTCAAATTCTTTTTTATTCTTTCCTCATCAATTTCTCTTAAGTTTTTCTTTTTTTTTAAATTTTTTATTCTCCTCCTCCGAGTTTCTCCCTCTTCCTGTTTCGTCGTATCAGAGTTTTTTTTTCATAATTCTCTTCTCATTTTTCATCCGATTATGGATCTTTGTAATATTATTAATATTTTCATTCGATGAATACTTTACTTTAATTAACTCTGGTTTTTTCCCACCGATTCTTTTTTCGTTCGCTTATTAACATCTGTTTTAGAAATTGTCTTTTGCACACATAAAATATTCTTCTATATATTATACACGGAATAAATGGGAAAAAACCTTTCGTAAATTCTGCAGCATTGTCCTAAAGTAATACATATAAGATAAAGAATTAAAATACTTTGTAACAACTTTGCTATCCGGGCAACTCCTTACCTCTCTGTACTTTTTATGTCCGTTCTTACCCCACGACTCGCTAACTAGACAACCCCTACCATTTCATTAAAGTTTCTTAAATTAAAATTCTGTCTAACATTCAACTTATTAATTAAAAAATTGTGGAACAGATCTGTGAGCCGACACTCTGCACACGTTTTCGATGCACGATCTACGAACTGGCCGAAAACGAACACGTCATCTTCGTTATTCGTTCGAGACTGTGGAAAGATACCATCGATCAGGTAACAAAACAATTATCTAACAATTAAAATCTAATAAAACTTCTTTAATTTTAAATAAATCTGTTTGCAAAGCCGCGAAAATGGAATTTTCGAAAAGTAAGTCGAGTGTCGTAGTCGTAGGGAATTAATCCAATCGAGAATAAATACCATTATTTTCGAACTACTTATTAATTAATAATAATTAAATATTACAGCTAGGTTTTAGCGATGTGCAAATTTCGTCCAAATTAGTGACCAGAATAACGTCCTTACCGTACGACGTGGAGACGTCTTCGTATCCTTATAAAGTGTATTCCGTAAGTACACTTCTCCTTCGAAACAATTAAATTTAATGCCTGGTTTAACATTAATTTACACTTTAATTATCCAGATATATACCAGATTAAATTCCGAAGAGAGCGACGTATCGTTAAGGCCTGTACCCCTATGGATTTTCATCTTAGCCGTGACATCCGGTTTATTACTACTGGGTTTATTAGCTCTACTACTGTGGAAGGTAAAACACCTGCCAATTAACAATTAAAATTAAATTTTGACGTTAATTTTCCATTTTAAAAGCCAGATTTACTAAAGTCTTGTCGCGTGTTTCTGTAGTTCGGATTCTTTCGACGAAGAAGACCTCGAAACGAATTATTAGACGAAGAGCCCTTGAGGAGGTACGAAAAGAACGGTTACGTGTGGTCGGCCGAAGACGTTATGTTGTAAAATACGAAGGATGTGTCAGAACGGGTGAAAGTTCTCCGCCGTCGATTTAAACATTCCCGGTAATTTAAATCGAATCTATTTTTGAGATTATGTGATAAATGCTCCATCGGAACACTTTACCGCAGAAGAGAATCCGTACCGTCCCACGAAGTTAACTTATCCCGACGAAAATAATCAATAAATAATTTTTTGTTTTTTACCGAGTGGTGTGCTTATCCCCCTACGTTTCTAAACGTTTTATAATTAATTCTCCACGATACAAAAATATGATTTCTAATAAATTCCCATAACGTAATTGCATCCTGGCAGGGTACTGGAAACGGAAATCAAATTCCAAAAATGAATATCCTATTTATCTTGGAAGAATTAAAAAGGCCTACCGTATACCAGAAATTTAAAACCCCAAAACTCAAATTAAACGCCGTGTTATTTAGTAATTGGTAGTCTATAATTTACGTTTAAAGGTAGAAACGACGAAGCGTATTCTTTGTTAACCCGTATACTCGACCTTGTGTTCTCTGGCGTCCGGATAGATCGATATCGGTACAAACACCACGGCACAAAACAGGAGAAGCGACTCCTTTTGGATTCGAAAAGCGATAATGACGTTAGATAACAGAATCAGATATCCGGATGTTCTTCCTGTTTGCCCGAGTAATCGGCCGTGCAAGAAAACTTCCAAACTGTTATACGAGACTGTGGTTTCTTCTGTTTTAAGCATTACGTACCGCGCTACACCCCTAATTATACGCCAAGTTAAATAAATTCTTACCGTCGGAAGCGTCAAAAATTTTAAATTCTAATTTAAAGTTATTTCTATTGTCTATTTAATTAAATATTTTTATTGCTTACCAAAGTAAAAAATTATCATAATTACTTAAAAAATAAATTACAATAAGAAATGTATTACTAATTACCATTTAAGAATTATTAGGACGCTTTATCATCTAATTTAGAATTCATTCGGATGAAATCAAATTCCCGTAATAAATAACAAAAAAATGGTTTTTTAACCATTCGGCGCGTGTTTCTGATAAAAAAATATGTCTTTGGATATTCTTAACGTAGAAAACAGTGGGCTTGTGTGGAAGGCGAACTAAGAAGCAGTTTGTATGGACACGTACGGAATCGAGCCAAAGAAAAAGAGAACGGAAGGGATGGGAAAACTCTTGAACATGTCACCCAGAAAACTGATTTCTGAATAGACATACTTCTCTAACAAAAGTTTGATTTATTAAGATCTAACGTCGGCATCATCAATAAAGCATACCAGGGTTGTAAATGTTAAGTTAGAGGGGCCAAAAGAAACATAACGGTTAGAATAGAGGAAATATAAAGGAAAGCAGCTCCGTATTTCTGTCTTTGTATTAATAGACTGCGGGAGATGACGATAAAGAAGCGACTACTAAAGAAACCCTGGCCGGCTTTTCTTTCGGTCTCTCCACAACTGGCGAAAAAACAAAATAAAAATACAAATGTCGCTCATTTAGCCGATTAATTAATTATATAAAATTATTTAATTAAGTTAATGCCACTTTATTTAAGACACTTTCTTTCGGAATCGTGTCCGAACAGAAATGATGTTACGCAGTTAAATTCGTCTCGTGTAAAAATAAATTAAATTTAATAAAAAAAATTATTAAATAATTATTTATTTTTTTTATTAAAAATTGAAACAAAAACTAAATAAAGAAAAAAAATTAAATTTATAAATCAGAAAATATTCTATAATAGGAATACGTCCGCCATCTACGGGAGAAAATTGTAACTACAGTACAGAGAAATATCGACATCTGTTACTATATGTCTCGGTCGAACATTAATACCTGGTGATAACGACTGTTTTGTTTCTTTATACACTACATAATTAAGAGTATAATTTTTTGTATCGATATACATTAAAAGCTGGATATAACGGGCCGCCAGGAGACCGAAGAAAATATCTGCAGTCGGCGGATGCTTCCTTTGTATCTGGATACCAAATCCACGTATTTGTTCATGGTTTCGACGGATCCGTTACCGCGAATATACCGTAGCCTATACAGTAATAACGACTCGTCCATTCCCGTACGTGGATACTGTGGACAAAATTTCGGTTGTAAAGTAAGTTTATATAAGACAGATTTTATTACAATTGTAAAAACAATACATGTAAATTATAATTCTAAAGCTTTTCGTTTCCTTTTATAATCCTTGGCTTCGCTTTACACAAATCCGACACTGGTGGTCGGTAGGGAAAACGATACTAAGACAAGTAGTCAACGTAATGAAAAAACCTACGTCGAAAAAATCACTAAAAAATGAATTTTATATTACAGACAAACCTCGGTTTTCGCACAAATCGGAATTTCCAACTGATAACTGCACCGGTTGCAGAACAAGCGACTGGGCAAGAGTCTGACACAGATTACAAAGAAGTTAAAGAAAGTCGGTGGCGCCGACATGGCCTGGCGTTATTATAAGTCGCCAAAAGAATCGACCATGGCCTTGCTATTTAAATTAGATTTCCACGTGCTTGAGGGAAACACTTTTTCCTTTCCTGGGAACATATATAAAAGAGAAAGTATGGCCATCGGTCAAAAAATGACCTCCAAGATTTCTATTTTCGGGTTAATCGAGAAATGCAAAAATTTTAGGGATTTTTTTCTGTATGTATGGATGTTTGTGTGTGTGGAGGACACAGTTTTGTACACCTACTTTGAAACTTAATAACTCCAGTGCTTTTTGTCAAAAATTTTTGAAATTTTGCAAGAAAGTTTATTAGGGGGACGATGCTATTAAATATTGACGATTAAACGTAGAGGGGTGGAGATAAAGGATCTCGAGTGTATCTCCTGTATGGTCGAACTTAATGACGATTTTACTCGTTATTACCAATTACAATTTTTTATAAAACTCATCTCTACTCTCAAAATAAGCTTTTTGCCATTTTATAATACAGTACTGTACATGTATGCCATGATTAACGCGGTTAATCATGCGATTACAGCGATTAAGTAAGGACAGCCTGTAAAGCCGGGTAAATTGAAACTTCTGCCGCCCATATAAAGGGATTGCCGCGATTAATTGACACTGGCGTCACATAGCCTAAATGGCACCCAAGAATTGGCGTTTAATGGTGCTTAAGTCAAATTAATAACAAAAATGTATTATTAAATATAATACAAACGAATAGATAATCAATACAGCTGAAAAGATAAAAAAAAGATTTATTTTGGGGGTCGGGAACGGATTAATCCATTTTATATTGTTTCTTATGGAAAAATGTTCGCTTTTCGAACAACTTTTAGGAATAATTATGTTCGAAAACCGAGGTTTGATGACTACGAAGACGTAGATGAAATGCCGACAAAAGTGTCGGTAATAACGGAAGGACGGTGGTCTGCAGAATCCGAAATATAGTCCATGTAGCAGGAATCCGTTATGGTCAATGACATTTCTTATAATTTTCCTATAATTTTGATCGGACCGACATCGGCCATCTGTACTAATGCCAGATCCGTTATAACGGGGCTTGTAATATATTGCGGCTAGCTTTTTATATCGATATGATGACGATAATACCTATATATGTATAGCCTACATATCGGTTAGGGTGGTCTCCAATTTTAAGTTCTTCAAAGGTGCCCCGTACAACTCTGCAACAGAGTTGTACGGGGAACGTTTGAATCTGTTTCGCTATGAAAATAATTAATAATTTTGGTAAAGTTTGGTTGGTTCCGAATAATATTTTGAGGTGACTGTGACGAACTGGAAAATCACAATATGGCACAATGCTAAGCGTCTAAATGGAAATCTCGGGTAATTCGGCGGTAGGGACGTGTCATCCTAGTCTGGAAATTACCAACTGCAAATTTGAAATGCTTTGTACTTTTTTAATGTTCTAAACTTTGATAGCAGCCTTTAAATTTTATCTTACTTTAATCAGATTTTCAGAATAGTTTATTACTTTTTCGGTATTGGAAAAGGTTAGGCAGGCGCTTCTATGGAAACTACAACGTTTTTGTACCTTTAAAACACTTTTATAATAATAAGAAGTCGTGTGTGTAAAAGTGTTTTAAATTAAAGGTACAAACCTTACAAACGAGTTAAATGTGCAGAAAAATTTTATAATTTTAACTTTCAGTAATCTGTAATGAAAAAAGGTATGTTTTGGAAAACATGATTTTATTTGTTTGTTTATAAAACTGTTGTAACTTGCGAACTTTTATTTTAGTTGGATGAAGAGGGGCAAAGAATGCCCGAAACGTATAAAAATACAATGAACACATATCAACTGAATAAAATTTAATGATGAGATTTGTCAAGTGTCTGAATAAATACAATAATTGATTTGTGTTCGAATTACTATAAATTAATAGTATACTAATAATAATAATAAATAAATAGATAAAGGTATTCCAATAGTATTTTTGTGGGATTTCAAGTATTTTCAGTCATTAATAACTTCGTAATAGAATAGTTTTCATGATAATTCTATATTCATCTGATAGTCACGTGATAGCCAATTGACCAAAAATAAGTTAAAATTTAAAAAATGGACTATTATTTTATAAATAAGGTAAGTCGTCGAATAAGGCCCACCTAACGTTTTAAGACGTTTTATATTTTCATTATTAGAGGAAAACGTCTGAAAGTTGTACTGCAACGTCCTGTAAGATGTTTACTTGCGGAAATCAAAAAGTAAAGTTAGCATCGTTCGAAATGTTTTCTGTAATAATACATTTTCCGAAAGTTATATAACAGGGAGTATTAGTTGCGTATGAGTCCAAATAAGACTCATACGTGAAGAATAATTTATTGATTAAGGTAAAAAGTAAGAGCTAATTAAATTACAATAATTGTAAGTTATTTAAACCCAATAAAATACAAGAAACAGCTTAAACATCACATTTTGGGCAAAAAACGAAAAAAAAAAAAAAAAATACTGACTATTTTGTCTTTAGCCATAAGCCTAACGCACTCTTCATGAACATATTTTGAACACCGTACACACAGCCTATTGTCGGAAATTCGATCTTCTCTGCATAAATAACAGAACAAGCTTTCTTTTCTCATTGACACTAGGTCCAGCTGCAAGATCCATCACGGATTTTGCAAAATAATAAAAGTTGCTGCGGGTGGAAGATTATCCTTCCATTCGGGATTTAATTTTTTCCCTTTTAAAAATAATCGCGGGCGGTATGAATTGACTCGGTGC